TTCCTCCAAAAGTTCCCGTTTACGACTACTGGAACCGATGGGTGAACGCCGTAGCAGCAGCTCTCCACTGCTGCTGTCGGTGGCGGTCGGCGACGAGTTCCACGAAAGAGGCGAGACAAGCAGTTCGTCAGTGCTGCCGCCAGAACATGAGGCCTCGTCTTCCAACTTATTCCTTGTATCGATGTTCAACGGCTTCGTAAGCAGCTCGCTGGCGCCGTCATTCGATGCCTGAGATTCTTGATCATCTGGTATGCCATTTATTGAGCATTTCACACCGAGTTTTTTGCGGCTCCGTTTTAGTCTAAAAAATCAAAAATTACACAAGTTAACGTGCAAGTTATTAATGAACTTGTACAACGGAGCTGTCCAGATATCGGCTGACCCCTGTTCTCCTATCCTAGAAACATCTGCTGTACCCCCCCCCCTTCGTTGGGTCAAAATAGGAACAATTTTTCTAGCTCTGTCGCTCCAGTCCATGCGAGTCAGCTCTGTTTCAGTGGCTGTGGAATCATGAATATCCGTTGCACTGATAAATTGTCATGAACTTCCGTTTTGCAGCATTAAGCAACGTATTCTATTCTGACAGCAAGACATGCAGAAAGTTTAAAATTGGTAACAGACATCGTGCTGTTTCAAATGGTGATGCTATTTACGTCTTATCCCTACAGCATTTACAACAGACAATTACAACCGTTTTGAAGTCGTTGTAAAATGTAATAACATTAATAACGTTTAATCCTAATAGTAACAATAAACTTAAGTTATTGAAACTCACTTTATTCTTGACATTTATGTAAACTACTGCTTGATGCTATAACGTACGTCTTCATCGAAAAGGTTTCGTATGCCCCTTGTGGTAGTTCTGTCAAGAAGGACAGTGACTATAAATCCGACGAGAAGGACTAGTGGAGGAGCCTACCGCCTGTCATTAATATTACATCAGAAAGAAGGCACAGTGAAATGTTTTTAGGGCTTTGCGTGAAGATGACTACTCTTGTCTGGGAAAACGGACAGTGGTAAAACACAAAACTTCGATTTTGCACAAGAAAACCGATGATTTGTTGAACAGAGCTTTTGTCTCGATATTCCTCCACTGATCAGACGGAACGATCAATCCCCTCCCATGAAATACAGCACTGTATACTGAACTTGTCAGAACATTTCGTCAAACTGGAATACAGACTGAAAATGGCGAAAGGACTCTTTGGCCCTTTTGTCCGCCCGTACTCTTTCTCTCTCTCAATGCATTTCTGAAAGAGGTACCCACCTATCATGTCACTATTTTTCACCGCTGTCAGCATTCTGCCGCCATTTGAGTGGGGGAGGGGCGTACTTCCTTTTTTAGATACGGCACTGTTTCGTACAGTCAGGTCTGTTAACTCTTATCGTTGGGTACTCGACTAAACTGTAATGTATCAGTACTTCAGTACTTTACGAGAGTACTGCAGTACTATTAGCAGAAAGTAATTTGGCGTTTAGCCATAACAAACCCAGTTTTACAAAAGGCGATTTAAATAACCTAATTACTTACTTTGATAAAAACACAAATCTGAATATATACAGTTGCATGCTGTTCCGTTGCCTCATCGTCCGCTTTTATTGTTAAGAGTAAAGTGAAATCGCAGGCAAGAACAGACTTTCGATGGCACCGTCGAAAAGTTCAAACCAGCTCTGATTGCTGTATTCGTGCTTGCTGATGTTCAATATGTATCAACGCTGTCCAATTAGTAACGAACTGCTTTAACGTATTTTGAAACAGTTAGGTCTGAAAACTGGAATCTACTCGTGCATTTTACCGTATTGTCTAAAACATTTTCCTCCAACTTGGGGGTAATAAATATTTTTTGCAGCGTTTACTTTACAGTTGTTTTGTTTTACCACAATGCAATACGTCAAGTCACTGATACAGCGAAATTTAACAAGCTGTCAGTGAAGGCACTAAATGAACTGAGTCTGTGATACCACCGGCTAACCATGCGAATCTTAAATCAATGTTAATCAGTCTCAATCAATCAGCTGTTACTTCAGTTTGAATTATACACAATGTCTGCACCAGCGACAAGCTTAAATATGCAGGAGAGGAACATACGCATTATAACAATTTCTAGCAGACGGGCGGATCGTAAATCATGGTCGTGAGGTTCAAACGCTTCTACAGAATACCAGAGCACAAAATAAACATGGCACAGCCGTGATGACACAAAACTGGTCTCCGTCTCTGAAGAACTGACTCCACAATTTTTAGCATAAGGCTTCTTTCTACATACAACCAATTAAATAGCGACTATTACGACTAGTTTGCTTCTGTTGTGTGTGTGTGTCTGAGGAAAACTCGAAATTACTCATTCTGGTCTCAAAATATAATCTGAAAACGAACACCGTCAGCTCTCAACGATGCACATTGGGTATAGGTTAGGCAAAGCAACATTTTAGAAGATAGAGGCGCCTGTGATGAACAATAGATAAATCGGAGTAATATACAAAACTGTCCATAGGAAGATCAGTGCAGAGTACAACGAAACGGTGAACTCGTTCTTAGTGATCTCGATGTCGACGTTGAATCACTTGCTGCGGCGACCATCCGCAAATAAATTTCAAACCAGTCAACACAGAACTAAATTTTCACTGAACGACGCTGAAAACAAGCAAATATTCAAATTTTCCTTTCAACCGGGAATTATCTGGCTGCAGTCTGGAATTTTTCCGACTATTATCACCGTGAAATAAGCTAGATGTTTTATCATATGTTACAATTTCAAACAAGATTAATAAAGTTAAATAGAAATTAAAGGATGCTTCATTTCTAGTGATCAATGGAGCGCCATACTGAATGTCATCTATCAGAATACAGTGCTATAGTGCGACAAAACAGGCAAACACACAATTACTCTAAGACCACACTGCACCAAGTGCATTGTACCGCTCCTTGTTCCTAGTTGCCTGGGGAGAGTTATGGCTTCATGGTATTTGAGGACAGGCAACGCCAGATGCATCCAACAGTTTGTCCGCTGAGGCCACCTCACCATTAAGAATGACGTTTCATGACCTGGTACTCGTTATACGATAGCAGAAACATCATCGCTGTTCGTATACCCATGTCAAATAACGAATGACTGCTCCTCACGGCGTACTGCACCGCCCTATTGCCTCTAATTGCCTAGTGAGGGCAGTTTGGGCAACCTCAACATGCCGTGCATTCTGACCTTCGATGAGTCAATCGTTAATCAACGTGCACTAGCGTAGGAACAGGTTATGATGTTTATACGGTAATACAATATTATGAACACTGCACTAAAGATGACTAAATTGAACTGAACAGTGAAGCGTACCGTAACTTTCAAAATCTAAAGCCACTTAACAAAGATCTAACTGGCTTTATCGCACCACTGCATCTACGATGAAACAGCTGCCAAATACATGGCAAAAAAGTAATACTAAATACATAATACTATAAAGCGGCTGAGTATAAAGTGGTGAAATACAGAAGCCTACTAAATCACGTTGTACAATGAAAGTACAACAAATATTAACGTACAGTAAAAAGTTCCGACTTCACAGAACATTCTACACTGTATCACATCATAAATGATTCCGTCGTAGATTTGGGACATCGCAGAACTCCTTTGAAAAGTCTTTAACGAAAGTTGTGCTGCGTTCGTTGCATTACTTTCAAAGTTACAGTACCATACAGCGTAAGATAACGTGTTACAGAATTATGTAAAGTAGTCTAAGCTACAAAATATTAACATAAACAACTAAAGAGTGAAGTATAAAACAGTACGAAAAAATACAGCAAAGAACACGATATCACAGTTTCAAGAAACAGTTTCAAGGATTAGTAATATAAAAGAGTATAAATGGGATTCATAAAATTATAGAAGGTGCGGTGAACTCCAAGTCTAATACACGATTAAACTTAGGTGTAAAATGACACGATTTTGATATCTTCAGCACATTATAGCATTATTATACATTACAATGCGGTACAACACGTAGCAAGTTTAGTCACTTACTGCATTTAGCTAAATTACCACAGGTGTGCTGTACTAGAGCACACTATGACGTAATACACAGTCAAACAAAAATGCAAAAAGACATTATAATTCAGAATACAGTACCAAACCTTCAATAATAATCGGCAAGGGAGGAGTAATATAATAAAGTATTATATGGGGTTTAATGCATTTAATACGCATCGTTAACCACAGAATGCTAGTACAGTTATGACGCAAACTTTTCTCAATAATCATACTATAATGTCCAACATTACACACAACGTGGCACAAAACACCGTACAGTAATATAGTACAATTATAAGTAATAATATTTTGAGAAATATGAAAACTAAACAGGGAACAAATCCTTTCAGAAAAAAACTGTATAACGCTATTATATGACTGCATGATACAATAACAGGTCGCACTACACTAAAATACAGCTAAACAAGGATAGTATACTACGTTATACTACAAATATGACACTACAGCCTACATACGACACAGTACGCGCAACAGTAAACAGAGTCCAGTGTAACAGAATATGTTAGAGTGTACAACCGTTTTGGAAATGATTTCCGTCGCATACGTAGTATCGCAGCAAGGTTCACCATCTCTAACATAATACATTACATACAAAATATAATACATTCTGCCATATTACACTACACTCTAATAGTATAGAAAAGAATGTGGAATTAATTATGTCGTAACGATTACATCTCGCCATTCTACATTACAGCATTACAGTAAACCATAATGCAGCAGAGTAAAATGTAACACATTATGCTAAACAATCTACCATTCAATTTCGTACTCTAACTAATATGATATTATGGAGTATCACATGATTGAACAGTCACCTATCCGTTTATGAATTGTACCTTTCAATAGCTGCTGAAAAGGGGCTACACAACAAATAAGCGATCATACAAAAAAGACTCGGCAGGTAAATCCGTCAGACAAATCTCCATGAAACGTTATCCTATAAGAGACAGCAAGCGAGATGACTCGAATGTGCACAAAATCAGGAACTGAAGCGATGGGAATTCAGAAGCACGATGGGGTGTTTAGATGACGACAGAAACGAATGACTGGAAACGTCCGTGAAAATGAATGACGAGTGAGACGCGAATATTTAGAGTAATAACAAAAACACTCATGCAGTTTATCTTTCAGCCTAATGTGTGAATCATGAAAAACGTCGTAATTGACAACGAACCTATAATTCTTAATGTGCTGACAGGTAACCAGTTGAAGGAATGGTATGCAATATAAATCAGATGTCGAGTACCGAACGACTCGTACAAGATGCTGCTGGCAGTCACAAGATCTCAAATACCATGCAACAAATGACTATACAATTACAAGCCCGGCTTGATCAATAAGCAGTTACTTGTAGTCGGCAACCAGCTGAGGTAGTTTCGCCGCCTCCATCACATGCAGGCTGTTCGACCGGTAGGAATTGGCGTAGACGACCAGACGCGCCTTCTCGTTCGGCGTGCACTTGTAGATGTCAATGCCGAGCCGCGAGCACATATTCCTGAGGGTCATCAGGTGGCGAGCGGTGATGGTCGACGGAGCTGGCATTAGCACGGAATGAAGGATGTCCACCAGTCGAACGCACTGAACGTCGCTGATGACAATGCTCGGCACTGTAATGCCATCGTACTCCACGTACAGAATGTCCGACTGGTCAGAATGTCTCGTACGAATGCCGCTACGAAGTTCCCCAACCTAAAAACAAAAAACGAGGTGAAATAAAACACACAATTCACTAGTCATTCGTCAGTGTGGTTAATGTCGCTACATGCTCAAAACACAAATACATACAAATGACAAGACCAAAAACATCTGCTAATAAGTAACAAAATAAGTGCAAAAAATGGCTGACTCGAATGATAAGGCTCTGCTGTTTGGAAACCGGAAGGAAAATGAAGCACTAAACCTATGAACTGGAATTTTTAACTTCCATCACATTAATACGCCTCGTACAACAAAAACTTTTTGCTAATTTATTTAGAATATGATGTTTCACGTTCGCAGACCGGTGCAGTTCCGCAACCCACACAATAGGACCATACATAGAATTTGAAACAAGTTTTGGCAGGGTTGAGTGTTTAAGAAATCGTGAGCTATGCATCCATCATGATGATTCACCGTGATGAATTTGAGACCGATGGCGGAGTAATAGGAGGAACATTAAAGTCCGCTGCATTCACACAAATGGAAATTTAGGAGTAAGATTATAAAAAATAGAAGAGTGGACGACTAGTGAGAAACTTGTGCGCATCCCTAATGATGTAGTCCCTTACACAACTGTCGTCGAAAGATTGGACGGTGGTTTACAATCACCTGAATGGCACTATATAAAACTTTGGCAAATCATCATTAGTAAATAACACCTGAACCGTAGCCGGCGATTTAAAATTATCAGAGGCCAACGACAGAAGTAACGTTTTGTCTTGCTTGAAACGTTGAATAATGAACAGAATGATTGTATCTGTAGAATTTCTACGTTTGTCTTTAATACCATGACTGGGTTTCAATAAATTATATTCATGATCTGTTCACCGAAGCCATTCTTATGTATAAAATTTACATAATTTAGATGAAGTATTTCTACAATGAAATGCTGAATCCACGGTACATACCATAAGTTTATGGATAATAATAAAGGTCTGTTTTACAAGTGAACCGTTTATGGACTTTCGGGCAAGAATTTTTGTGGTGCAATTTTCACGGCGAGTCTGATAACCACCTAGTCTTACGAGTAGGTTAAAGGGCTGCGTTAAATTTTTCAATTTTAAAAATGGGATAGTCTGACAAAAAACGCTCATGTAGGTAGAAGACGTTTACAAAACCTGTCGTTCAGCGGCAAATATAATCTTCTGTTCGGCAAGAATTTCGTCGGATGCCGCAGCCGCAGAGCTGAAGCGAATACACCGGACGAAACCATCCTTGCGAGCCTGGTTACTGAGCAACAACTGCTCCACCTGGTGAACGGTGATCGCATCGAACACCTCGGGCAAACCGTGCGTGTTCTTGGCCACAGCAGTTACCGGTTGAATGTCGTTCTTGTGAAGTATCTCCTGTAACGGAAGAAGTAAATGTGATAATAAAACAGGCAACAAAAACAAACAGGAAATCAAATACAACGCATTAGGTGCGGTACAATCCCTGTCTTCAGTAAACCGAAAATCGGCATGTCAAATTCGGCACGATTATCTGCATAATCTTATCTTTAAAATAAATACAAGCACTCACAACCAGAATTCAAAGTCGAAAATAAGAGACAGAGACTTCGTCAGATAAGAACAGGTAATACGTCACTTGACGCAGGTGACAAATACTTCTTAATTACCGTTAAGTGACAAACCTTGACTTTTACTGGACGTGAAGCTTCGTATGTACTAATACATATATTGCTCTAGCGACCAGTAGTGCATAACTCGTTAACTAAAGTTTAACTAAAAAAACTGTTCTACCAAGAGTGCCCGTTCAAAAACGGAATGAAAAAGCAGTAGGAGAGTTTTGAACCATGCGAAATATGTCGTAAAACTAAAGCCGTCTTCACTTGATTGTTGAATCGTCGCCTTGATCACGGTCACGTGAACTGCTGGAAAAATGACGCACAGTACAAAATGTTGGCATTCAAAGCTTTGAGCACCTGGCGGAGGCAGCAACATGGAAGTCCTAGACGATCTGCAGGCAAACACCGTGATGCATTATAACTTGCACGATAAGGCTTCACGGAACGACAGAAAAACGCTAGCTCACAAAAGAGAGGAAGAACTGCAAGGTGCAATGGAAACACCTACCTATACGATTGAACACGCAGACTCAACGCAGAGGACGAGAAATGAATAGACAAGTGACATGGAGGTACTAATCGACAAATACGGAAAAGGCGAAAGAGATGGAGACAGTTTTGCAACTTTCACTGAAAGCAATCGTCTACATGTAACGCATACTGTCATCTAAAAGTTCGAAAACGGCTGTAGACACGCGGAAGTTAGAAAAAGTTTCTGAACGGAGTCAGCTATGTGCTGACTGACAAGAAACGAATAGTACATCAGACACGACGGTCATGCGGAAGAACATCAGGATCATACAGAGATCACGGATCACAAAAAAAACCTGCAAGCGGGTGGAACGAGAGATATTCGACTGAAACAACGGATTCCGAAAGCGTTGAAAGACAAACAAGGAACAAGAAATTGAAAATGCTCGATCTGCACAAAGCTCGACAACAACCTGTAGTCGTTCTTCCAAAAGCAGGAGTGAATCAGATGTTGTAATTTGTTGCCTCAAAAGATGCTCCAAAAGTTGACGGGAACGAAGTTGAGTCGCTAATAAAAAAACGTTAAAAATAACAAATGTCCAGGGAAGGATTATATAAGACAAAAACACCTTAATGATGGAGGCAAAATCCTCGAGGCAAAATCTTTAAGGCGCTTACCGAGTAAATCAGGAACAGCAAGACTTCTAAATTTTAAAAAACGTGAAAAACGATTCTTCTTATAAGAAAGGCGACTTCGATTACGCCAAAGATTATCAACTAATTATACCTTAGTTACAAATTTATAGTCTTCACCCGCATCATCCTCAACTGAATTCGAAAGAACCTCAAACAAATCACAAATCGGGAATAGGCAGTCTTTAGTACAGGGTTTTCTACCATTGACCAAATACATGCCATCCAACAGCTGACGGAAAAGTGCAATGAATAGCAAGTGTCACTCTGACATCGACTACACGCAGTTAGATTCGACAGAAACGACAGATGTGCTAAATAATTTGCATGAGCATGGTATAATTCCTGTTTACGTCAATCTAATCAAAGAATTGAACATCGGTTGAAGGACTGACATGAAGTTATTCAGAGAACCATGTGGCATCAGTACCCATCAAGGAGTGCGCCGAGGAGATACTCTCTCACAAACATTTTTCTCCGCGGCCTTAGAAACACTCTTCAACGATCTAAACTTGATCAGCGGCATCAATGTTGATGAAGAGCAGATGATGCATTTGTTATTTGCAGACAAAAGTACGATCTAAGCAAAAGTCATGATGGAGCTCCAACAGAAGAAACAGTACTAGGAAAATTTTCGGTCCGTCCGTCCAAAAAATCCATGTCCGTTGGTTTGGAGAGTGACGTGTTCGAGATGAAAAGGATTGAAAGGGGCACTGTTCATAGGGCTCTATGCAAGAGAAAGGCGAGGAACTCGCTAAACAAACAATCAGTCGAAGAAGGAAGGCCGCATATATCGGGCCAGCACTAATCATATAAAAATATTCTTACTCACCAGTGGTGTCCAATCGGGCGAAGAAAGAATCGTCTTTCCCCTCACGACCTACGACAATGAATACTGGCCCGCTATTAAAGCCGATAAGAACAAACTCGTAGTCACGAATAAAAGGATGAAGATTAGAATATGGTAGGTGTCTGTCAGGGATTAGCATACGTGATGTCTGCGCCAAGAAAAGAAGGGTTTATCATGTGGCTTGCTTGAAAGACAAGCGATGGATGTGAATTATTAAAAACTGCACTCCACGGGGTTATAAACATTGAGTCGGTAGTCCAAAATGACAGATTATCTGACTATGATACTACTTGGTCAGCTGTAAGAGGCTGGAAGCAAAGAACAGAATTCTGGACGAACGTTGCCCATTGCGCACTCATCACCAGAATAAGTCAGATAACGGATAACTTATATACTGAGCATAATACGACCTCTTTATGAGGAAGTGAAAAGTGATTGCATAAGGTAATAAAGATATTTGCATACCGTCATCAACAGTTCTTACATCAACTTAGTCGGTCTTAAGAGTTGTAGAAGGTTACGTATAGCGTTATTCTGATACGGATAGAGATGAGTGATACAGAATATGTAATTGTACATATTATGCAATACAATATGCGCAATGTGTGTGTAATAACCTTAAGAGTAGATCTAGATCATTTAGCCATATTCACATTAATATCATTGTAATCACGATCCACTTGAGAGGCAACTGCGCTGCGATAAAAGCGACCGACCAACAACTTACTTTGAACTCATCCCAGTGTCTGCTGCTGAAAAAAGTCTGAAACACATCCGTAACGCACACGTGTGGTTCAGTGCTATTGTCAACATTGACCGCCGGCAGATCGTAGCCCATAACGGTGATGCATTCGGCGTCATTGGTGGTGCCCTGCAGCGGCGAGTCGGTACGGACGGGCAGTCGGCTGTGGTGAGAGAGCACGGCGTCGCTCAGCGAGGACAGAGAGGAACCGCGCTTGCGTGGGGTATGGAAGCGAGGGGACAACGAAGGCAAGACGGTCGGCAACGAATTAGATCGCCGCAACTGTGGGTGGTCGAAAGTCGCGCCGCCGTTGCACACGCCGTTGTTTCGGTGGTTGAGATGAAGCCGCTTGACGGGCGAATCCAAAATGGAGGTGATCAGGTCGAAAGAGTGATTGACGCCCACATCGGTTCCACCACTACCATTCAGTGACAGCTTCGTGAAATCCTTGACTGGGCAGCCAATGCCCGCTATCTCTTCCTGAGCCTGATGTACGAAAGTAGCCGTTGTTGTCTCGCAGCCGTTGAGAAAGGCAAAGCTGCCAGTCCGAGCGATAGCGGCATCGCCGAGCTTCGATGACTCTTCTACAGAAAGCGAAGCATTAAATTACGTTTTAAATGCAAACCTAAAATTTAAATTAACATTAATTTAGCCAAAATTCTTAAAAGTCAGTAATGTATTTAAAACGTAAATAAGAAAACAAACATAATTCAAACGTTATCGAACATACACATCAAAAACAGAAATATCGAAACGTAAAAAATGACATGCTGCCTCTCTAAGACAAAAAAACATTGAAAATGGGATAAGGTCTTCAGAAAACAAAACGAGATCTCATTTTTTGTATATGTGACGAAAGTAGACAGATTCGATGCAAGAACCAAATTTTCACAGAACCGTTTGTCCACTGTCCAGATATTGGACAATGTCGTAGCATCGTCCGAAAAGTTGGCGGACCACAATCCGTCTTCGATGCCCATGTCCACAACCAGAGAAACACGCGAAACTACGACTTCTACTCTGCGCTTGCACTTTGCACATCGATATAAACTTGCAAATATACATACAATCCGGTTCACTCCTTATTAGTTTTAAAGCAAATAAATGCAATATGCATAAGTTCATTTACGTAACCATGTACGTTCAGAAAAAACATTAAGATTACGTATTCAATCAATACCCTAAAACATTTGAACCTCAACCACATGAATTACTGAAAGAGAATATTTCGAGGCTGTCGTTGTGATCAAAGAAAATGCACATCAATTTTGATGTTAAACTTCGTGTATATGTCATACAGTACAGGGATATTATGACTGGGTGGTAACGCGATGGAAGTGAATATTAAAAAGAAAAAAGTTAGAAAAGCAAGTTACGATAGAATGCACATGCTGAACTTCATCGTTTTCAAATCCGTTCGATGCCAATTAAAATGGACTTTGAGTATCTGATGGCCTTCACAGCAAATACAATGTATAATATAATACAGAAATATATATTACAGCACAATATACGTTAGTCCAAAAGGGAAGAATACGACACGTCACTAACTGATGCTGTCCTTGCAGATGAACAAATGTTCAAAGATTTCAAATTCGATTCAAATCCTGCTTGTACACAGACTTGTTCTGAAACCATGAGGAGATCAAACGATTCTCTTTAGGCCGATCAATAATTTTGGCATCACAGATGCTGGCAGCTAATGCAGATAATTGACCTCGCGGTACTTAACCGATAAATACTTATTCAGGTCTTTGTTTTTGCAGGTTCTAGTGCCTGCGTAGACTGGGTACTCCAGTGCACTTTTTCAGAAAATTTCTACAATTTGCATGGAAAGATGTGCTGGGAATAAGAAACGATAGTAAGACGAATGAGTTGAAAAGAACATATACAAGACTGTGTGATGCCATCACCAAACTGAAGAAGTCAAAGCGGCAACAGGCAGAGAACGTTGCAAGATGGACCAACTGACTGTCGCTGGACCAGAGACATCACACTGTTTTGCAAGAGAAAGTAAATGGCCCGTACGATGACATATAGATCGATGGCAGGATATACTAAAGAAGTACGCTAGATCAACGTGGATAAGAATAGCGGAAGACAGAAGTCGATGAAACTGTCTTGAAGCCCTTCATTCAGCAATGGAACGAAAAAGGCTGATGTTGATTTACACAACCATCTATAGGCATAACCCATTTCTACTGACTAATATGCCGTTACTACTCAGAACATACTGTACATGCAGCGCGTTATGCATAAACATGTCCAAACGATATACACAGGAGGAGCAGTACATTTATTCCATTTACATGCTGTTTTAATATTATAATATCGTCCCTTCGATCTGCATACGTGTAGTATAATGAACGTATCCAGCATGTTATATTCGATGTGTATACATGCAGAATATATGCAAGAAGTACAGAATGCATGTGCGAATATACAAGCCGCGTGAGTCCCATACTGCAACAACTCTGTTCAATCTATTAATTACAGATTTCACCAATCATAAACAACTATCTGCTGCAATTTATACCTGACACAAAGACTGGCTTGCGATTATATCAGACATGACAAAGGAGAAGAAATGCGGAGGCCTGTAACCTTTAGCGTCATCAAAGTAAACACTATTTTCCATAGAATGTATTAATATAGTAGATTAACGAATAACAGAGGTTTCACACTATAGAATATATTGTATAATGTGTTTATCCTTAGACGTTATCCATGGCGTACACAATCTACGTGCGATGCGGTACCTACCTCTTATAGGCAGATACATATACAGCACAGAGTATACATATGCTGAACTCCTTCCAACTGATACAGACATACAGAATATAGACATATTGGGTTCAATACAAGGTATAGATTACATACAAAAATTAACACTTCTCAGATTGTTCTATACAGTAATACGTAGCTCAATGCACAGTCTCAGAGTTCGGATGATGGCAAGGACGGTTATATGGTGACGATGACAATGGTAATATCAGCATCATCGTCACCCTCGAGCTCATTCTTATCAACACAATCTGTGCTTACTGTCGTCATAATCACTATCATTATCATCATCCGTATAACTGCAGTTATTATTAGAATTATAACGCGTCTATGAACATACTCAGCAGTATCATCAGCAACTTGGTAATAGCGATCGAAACATTAAGTCATATCATGATCGCAATCGCATTCCTTATCATCAGCGCTGACATCACAACATATCTAGAATGGCCATGATCATATTCATTTTCCTGTTTCTGATGATGCTGATTGTTCAGGGCAGCAATGACTAAATTTTGATAACAGTTGATAAGGCACAATCACTAAAATCGTCATCTTGACTTTCTAATGATGATGACCGCAACCATGAAGACTATGATAACAATCATATCAAGATTTCAGTGACTTACCGCTGAGCACGAGAACAGCACATATTTGTTTCAGAACAAACAATTTAAAAATCAGTCAGTACTCGTCCCCACCCCCACTGAAAATGACAGATGCATCGCCGACTATGAGAATTGTAGGACACTTGAACCAGAATCTCGATCCCCTGATCCACAAATTTCATTTCCTTTTCTTAGTAGCTTTTCGACATATTTTTCTATCTTGACAGTATCAAAAAAATGCGCATTATGAGAGTTTCTATCCATGTTATACTCCGTCTGTTTATCGGCATCGGCATGATCGCAGTGAATGCATAATTCATAATTACAATTAGAATGAAGTTAAACATGACTGTAAGTCTGATAATACAAGCCAATCAATTTCATTATTATGATCAGCTAAACGACGATAGCTATTAGTGTAACAATAATTATCAGTGTTTTCGGGCTTGAGATAGACTCAACGCAGTACAAAAAGTCAACACAACCAAAGACAAGATCGGATGACAAGAAAGGATCACAAGATAATATTTGGAACGTCAATGGTGTTTTATCACTCTAGACTTAACTTTTCTTTTGTTGTATATCGCCATGCTTATCACCACCACAAATCATAATCACTGAAATAATTCTGATCATGATGAGTACGTTTGAAACAGCCATCAATAATTCATTGACAATAAAAAAATGTAAAAATTAGAACAGTGATTGATTATTATGACTCTAATTACAAAAGCTATCAGATTACTGATGAGAGTGAGGATTACTTAGGACTACCATCACTGTGATCAAAAATATGATCCGTGGTATAATGATGATTGTTGTTACAGCATTAATCGCAATATTACATTATTTCGATCACAGCCAGTGCAATATAACTGAATGGCATGAACACCGTTTCAGCTCGAGCCCTCTTTCACAAGACAGGAAGTCGCAGTACTTTTCCTAAAACTCAGGCTGTTATTTGCCTCATTACGAGCCTACATTGGATTCAGGTGTGGCCCTGAACTTCGATTTGCAACTGACAACCATACCGTGCAGATGGTGAGACGAATCCGCTAGGATGTTGTTCACAATGGCAGAGTGAGACCATCGAGGAGTACCGATGACATAGCACGCCAGCTGATTTGGCAGACATCCTCAAGGTGCGTCGTAAGGCCCTACAATGATCAACCGACAGAGCCTTAAAAATGACAGCTGGGTACGTCACTACAGGGTAAAACATCAGTAGCTAGAACAATGATCTTATTATTAGAACTATTTATTCCTTTTGACTGCAATTATGGTGAGGGCAACTACTGTTATAATAATCGCAGTGATTATCATAGCGCTGCTGATAAGAACTGTGCTTGTGATAACTCACTGTAATTATGATGGCTGGAGATTTATCTTGATCATCATTAATATCATCCCCATTACTTGTGTTATGAAGGTGACTCTCACTGCGATAATGGTACGGTCATCATGTCAGTACGTATGATGGGAATGAACATCGATTACGATTGTGACTACGATAACGCTTATGTCCATGTTGATCTTGACCATGATCAATATCATTTTAGCCATCGGCATTATGATTGGCCGTAACCAAATTAACAGTTATCACATTCACCGTTATCGTCGTTGTGTTAATGATCAAGATACAATCATGACCGCGATCATTATCACCACTGTGATCAGCATTATGATGACGAGTGTACCTGAAAACAATCTGATTTAATGACGACCGTGTTAATGACTGCGATCATCCTTATCACAGCGACTGTCCTCTAGTTGATTTTACGACTCTGGTGGTAATTATAACGTCAGTAAGAAGGATGAGGATGATAAGGATAATAAAAATGACAAGGATGATATAGGCAGTGAATGCTGCCTGGCCAGATGGATGTCTGAAGTTCGCAACGAAGTAGTGAAGCGACATGACAGCACACATATGTTGACAGAGTGCGTCAGAAATACGCAAGAACATAATCACATGAATCAATAGCTGCAGATATTGCTGAATCACAGCTGCACGCAGCAGAAAGAAAACAACGTGAAGCGACGCTTGCCGCAATTCTGACAAAGGTGGACGGCCGGGCTGACGAGACAAAACGACGACGAAGAAGCGTTTGAAAGCTGAAATCAGGAGTGCTATGAACTGGTTGTAGATATATTCAACAAATGGTACAAACCATAAAGCAAAACGTCCAAGT